CTTGGGGAGCACAAGAAAGAGCCCAAGACTTCCCCCTCAGTATTCCATCTGGCAGCCCAATTTTGCGACGCCAGCTCCCACTGGTGGAATAGAAGAGAAACGCTCGTGCTCGTGTCTGTGCTTGTTTAACTTACTACCCCCAGTCTATTCGTGCGCGCCTTGCTTTCTTTGCTCCTCCATGCAGGGCTGCCAATTCAAGCAGCACCACGGCATCCGAGACCCAACTACGGAGTACCTGGGGGTGCTTTCTGAGGCTGAAATTAAATCAGCGTCGGGCTGAAAAGTACCTTGGTCCAACAATTTCTGTATTCTTAGGGCGGCGCCGACATTAAACCCAGCTGGGTTCGAGGTCTGAAGAATAAAGGACAAGCGAACAAGAATAGTCCTGAAAAGTCAACGACTCTCTCTCTGCACACCTTGTTTTGTATTGCTCGGTAGACACGGATGCCAACCTAGTCTCCTGTACAGTACTAAGACATTAGGCAGCTCTTCTCGTGAATTGTAAAGGCATGTGTGGAAGATGCTGAGCGACATGTCAAAGTAATGGATATATTAAGGAATAGAAGCAAAAGAGGAGAACTACATTTGCATTAGTCGCCCGATATGGAGACAAACATGCCCGGGAGGAACTACTTCCTATGTAGTAGCAAGCCGATCTTGTTGGCCGTAACATGTGCTTTGTTCATCTAACCACGTATTCCATGCAGAAAATGAATTCGATTTCTGTAGCCAGCTGATCTTTCCTAAGAACCTAAAAAGAATATGGGAAAGAGAACGGTAGTTTCTTCGGCTTTGTACTTTGAATCGGCCAAGGACTATCCTTAAGGGCTACTTTGACGGCAAATTCCGCTTTATCCTAAACACAAAATAACGTTGGGGAGGATCCTGCCGTCGAGAGGTGGTCCAAAATCACCGTGAGCCATGAAAACAACATGTATATTCCTACAGAAGTCACAGTTTTCAAGTGCTGCCATGTCCTGACTTCACCATCCGCCCATTAAAGGACCAAAGGGTCTACCCAAGAGGCGCCAAAATCTGACTTGCGGGCTGTCGGTTTGAGCTCTACGGACCTAGATGAGGAAGGGGGCATCTTGTTTGTCCTAGCCCTTGCCGTTATGATATTAAGTGCTTCGTGGTGCCAGGCCACCTCTCACCATTAGGAAAGAGTACGTCATCAAGTCTGATGAAAAGATGAGCCAGCAGGGCTATTGACTTGGGTGTGACCCACTGAGTCTGTGAAAGGACTAAAGATCTATTATCAATATTGGCTTCCTGTATCTTCCTAGCTGGATCCATCAGTTACTTATCAACCCCAAACTTTTGGGGAGAGAAAAAGGTTGTCTAGGAGCCCTCTTCAATGCCTCTCTGTCCGTAAGTGGAGGACTAGGATGAGATAAGAAGGTAAGCTTCCACAGACAACTTCAAGTATTTCAGGCCCAACTCAACCCGTCTGGCAGATGACAGGCTTTGGTTTAGTATTAAACCACACATGAAACTCTTGATCCAAATCGATCGAACTTTGTTATATGCACAGTCAGATCAAAACTAGAACTAGCCGCTTCAAGGCCTGCAGCGTAGGACTGACGATACCAACTGTTGCAGGCTACCCCTGGAATTCGAAATCGGTGACTAGTGTTGCTTTGGTTAGTACCTCATCTCAGTGAATTTGCGGGAACTTTTAAGGATGCGTGTATATTGACTCGTCGGGCTATTGAATGGGATTATCCACAGCTCCGTTATCCAAGTACGGATGTTTTCTCACACGCGGTGGCACTGCGATCGTCGTTGGTATAAATGAACCAATTGTAGGCATTGAGAAGCATGTTATTGAAACTTCACTGGTGATTTTGAGGCTTCAACAACTCATATGACGTTAATGGAGAAACATACGCGTCCTCCTTTAGCAGTATGTGTTCAGATGCTTTGTTGTTAAGACCCAATGGCGAATCAACCGTTGATGTAAGTCATGTAGCGCGGGGTCCCTTGCACATGGTGAAAAACTATAACCCGCCTGTTTAATAGACGTCTCAGAAGTCGAAATATCCGGGATTGGTGGCACAAATTTGTCTTTTGAATGAAGACGGGCGGCTTCAGACATGATGCAAATAGCATACGTCAGTCACCACCCCTCTTCCCGTGGCAGAAATAAAGAACCTCTAGCCTACAGTGGCCCACAAGAGGCTCTTGAGCTTTGCAAGGTTTGGGGTGATCCGCATGGGGCTGGAAATGAGCAATTGATCATCCCCTCCTTGGCCCCAGCTTGAGCATTCTCGCCTGACGGACGCGTCAGAATCAGGTGGATATAAGCGAGGCTCGACAAGTCAGGACCGGAGTAACAACTACTCGCCAACTCAATTATCGTTCGCTGTGGTCAAGCAAAGCACAGGAAACTCTCGTCGAATTTGCTGCATTCCTAGGTAGGTTGCGTAATAAAGCCCGACTACTTCCGCTGACGTCGTTTTGCAGCTACGGTGGGACTGGAAGCTCAGTTAGAATAGCTGACGGAGCAAAGAAATTTTCCCAAGGACGGACTGGCATCTTCTAAATTCGAAAATTGGTGAAATCGGACCTATTACCATCGGAACGAGGGCGGTGCCCCTGGAATAACGGGGCATTCTGCATGGCAATGACGAAGGTGATCCACAAGCGGACGAGGATAGCGCACGACGACGCGCAGGCCGTCATCTCAGCGGGTGCAGAGATGCTGAGTATAAGCGGCGGTTTGCTGGTGGATGTGCAACTGCCTTCTCTTTGCTTGCGCCGAGTTGTTGCTCAGGATATATTCGCGGGATGAAGAAGAAGTTGAGACTTGATGTCGAGGTGCTCAAGAATGGGAGTCGAACAGGTCGAGCCCCTCCCTCGTTTCCCACGTCAGGTAACGGGTCCATCCGCAGGTTCAAAGGACACCTAACTTACTCGGTAACCAACTATGGAAGAGGTCGAGACACCGCACAACTTGCACAAATAGTGGTCGCCATACCTTTTTTTTTTAAGACATTGAACACTGAGGGCAGTCAACCGTTTGCCTCACCCATTGCTGCCTCTGCCCAACCCTCGTGTCGGCTCCTCTCCCTGGCTGGCGGTGTAGGGGCAATGGGGAGAAGGGAAACGCAATAATAAACCACGCCCAAGGACTTTCTTGAACCGTCTCATGCACGCCGTCCCAGCCTCTCTGTCCACGACTCACGACTCACGACTCAGACTCTGAACGTCAGCCTGCTCGTTTTGTCTCCGCCCGGCGGGGATCGTCTCTCTCGGCAGTCTCTCGGCCATATTCTTTCAAGGCCGGACGGCACGGAGCACCGAGTCCAGTCTGGTCCTGTTCGCCTGGGTTGACGACCCTGGGCGTGGAGTAGTTATCCGGCCCGTCTTTTCCAGGTTTTTGCCAGCCAAGCCGCGGCGTATTGCTGGGCGGTGCGAGGCTGGTCAAGACCGTCAAGACCGACCGTCAAGACCGACCGTCAAGCCCACGCGAGCAACCCAGCCTGGGCCGTTTGAAGGCGTGGCTGCGTGCTACTGCCACGGATAGACTCTCTCATAAGAATAGCGAGGATACGGGCACAACGGCGGCGCTCAGCAGAGTCGGCACTGGCGCCGGTTGGCGTCGGCGCCGGGGGAACGCAGAAACAGAGAGCAGCAATAAAGGGAAGCGTGATGAGGCGAGTTCGGTGGCAACCTGGACCAGCCGGCACTGGTGGCTTATTCTAGTCTTGGTAGCCGGCGCTGCCGTGGTACGTTGAGCTTTTTTCCCATTTACCTTTGCTCTATGCCGTCTGGACATTGCTGTCACGACCAACTTGGCCCATGACCTCGGGCGCCCCTAGGTCAACTGGCACCGACATACTCGTCCACAGCACATTTCTCAATCCTTCGGGCCTCGTGCTTTGCCCTGTGCATCTGCAATTGATACTCGATTGCCCATGCAAACACGCTTCCTCGGCCGCAGCATGCACGTCGGCATGATGCGACGCGGTGAGCTCGCCACTGCACAATCTGCGCCATGCCCAAGTGGTGCTAGCGTGGGAAATGGGCCTTCTCATGCTTCAGTGTTCCATCAACTGTCTGGTCCCACATCCCACAACATTGAACGAACATTGAAGCTTGTTCTGGCTTGTCGCCCAGAGACTCTCGCAAAAGTCTGGGTCCCCGCATTGCTCCAGACGCCCCCATGTGCTCCCCATTTGCTCCCCATTCTGACACCCATCCATCCATCAAGTGTCCAATTGACCTCCCTCATGAGCTCCAGCAGCACCCCGAGCTTTCTTCACCACCCCCCTGCAAACCCCGAGTAGTCTTGCGCCAGTGGCTCAAACTGCATCATCATCCCACAATTACCCATTGACTATTCGTCCTGCTGCGGCCGCTAACTTTGCCAGCAGCTTGCCCATCTCGTGCTCCACGACGCCGCGCTGGACAGCTCGCTGGTGCTGGTACCGTCACCCTTCTTCTCCTTCTTCACCTTCCCCTTCTCCCACTTCAACTCTTACTCCTCTCCCCTGTTGAGCCTTGTCTTCCCTCCGTCTGTCCTCGAACCGCCCGAGTCGGTTTGCGTGAACCCTGCACCATTTCCAGTACTGGCGCCAGTCTCGAGACCTCTCACCACCATGGCGCTTGCCGACAAGACGAAGCGCGTGGTCTCGCAGTTCGACTTTTCCGACGCAGACGTAAACATCCATGTTCAAGAGTTCCTGAAGCAAATGAGTAAGTTTGGGCCTGATGTCGCAGACATGGCGTGCCCGCATGTCTCCGTTGGCTGAATGTTTTGCTGACGCGACTTGGCAGAGGAGGGTTTGGAAACCGACGGCACCAGCCTCAGCCAGATTCCTACCTATGTTACGGGAGTTCCTAATGGCACCGAAAAGGTACGACACCATGGCTCATGTTCTCATGCGTTGGCATTTTGTGGCCTGCTGCCGACCAGCCCCTTCTAAACGCTTCATGTACAGGGCCTCTATTTGGCGGTTGATCTGGGTGGCACCAACTTTCGTGTCTGCTCCATCATGCTCAACGGCGATACGACCTTTAACCTGACATACAACAAAGTGGCCATTCCCAAGGAACTCATGGTTGCGAAAACTGCCAAAGAGCTCTTTGCCTTTTTGGCCAAGCAGATTGAGCTGTTCCTCCGAGAACACCACGCTGAGCACTTTGAGAGTCATGTGCGTCGCAGAGCTACCGCTAGTACCCCAATGGGTTACCGCGACGAGCAGATTTTTCGCCTTGGATTTACTTTTAGCTTTCCCGTGAAGCAATTGGGCATCAACAAGGGTTACCTGATTCGCTGGACCAAGGGTTTTGACATCCCCGATGCCGTTGGCAAGGATGTTTGCCGCTTGTTGCAGGACGAGATTGATAACCGGAGCCTCCCGGTCAAGGTTGCGGCTCTTGTCAACGATACAGTCGGCACCCTGATGGCAAGATCCTACACGTCTACTGGTAAGCACCGCTCTTTATTGGGTGGCATCTTCGGAACTGGTACAAATGGAGCCTATATCGAAAAGACGGCCAATATCAAGAAGCCAATTGAAGGTGAATATGACAAGTCGACTGGTGAAATGGTCATCAATACTGAGTGGGGTTCATTCGATAACCAGCTCAATGTCTTGCCTTCTACTCCATGGGACAAGGCACTGGATGCAGAAAGCGTAAATCCTGGTATCCAGATGTTTGAGAAGCGTGTTTCAGGAATGTTCTTGGGAGAAATCGTACGATTGACCGTTTTGGACATGATCAAGGATGACGACATTAGCCTTTTCCGAGACGCAAACTCTAGCTTCAACGACAGATCCACCACCACAAGCATTGGGCCGAAGTCATGTATCTTTGAGGCATGGGGACTTGACAGCGCCATCATGTCCGTCGCCGCTGCTGACAACACCCCCGAGCTCTCTTCGATACGACTAGAACTGGAAAAGTGCCTGGACATTTACGCTCCGTCATTGGAAGACGCCCAGGCGTTCAAAGCTATCTCCGATGCCGTCGCTCGCCGAGCAGCCAGATTGGCGGCAGTGGCCATTGGCGCCATCGCGCTACAGTCAGGCAAGCTCGATGATCCTGAGGAGGAGGTGCTCGATATTGGTGTCGATGGCAGCTTGGTTGAGCATTATCCCTTTTTCCGGGACATGATCTACGAGGCTCTTGCCGCCATCGATGGCATTGGAGCCGAGAAGGTTGCAAAGATTCGAATTGGTATTGCCAAGGATGGAAGTGGAGTTGGAGCAGCTTTGATTGCATTGATTGCCGCTCGTGCGGAGAAGCCTGGCGATTTCCTTGCTGATCTGCGCTCAGATATTAGGAGACGCCTCGAGAAGGTTCCTTCTAATGTGTCGACATCGGTCGAGGATCCCGTACAGTCATTGACGCCACTGCTGGTAGTGGGTGCTCTTGTTGCAGTGGCCGCAATTGCGGGCATCTGGTGGAGTAGGCGCAAGTGAGATGAATGATAATGGGGCAGGACAGCCTTCTGTTCTTGGGCACAGAGACGGAGTTTTGGGTGATGGGCTTTCTTTTCTTTTTTTTTTTTCCGACTGTATCAATTATCTGGGTAAATTACTGAATCATGAGCCATGCGTTCCAAGCACGGTAGCAAAAGCAAATTTTTGGCGTGCACATACATGATCTATATTGCCTTTTTTTTTTTTTGGAATCTTGGCTGTCTAAGTCGCCATAAATATCGACGCTGTAGTTTCCTTTCCTAACTTGATGCTCTATGTCTTGTATGCATTGTCATCATTCGTGTAAACTCTATCTGTTATAACCACCCCTGGACCCGCACTATTATGCTCCTGAATTGCCAAAAGCCGCGGCCGGGTATGAGCGATCCTTCTTCCTCCGCGGCGCCTGCGAGCTACTCCTCGAACTCGTCGCCGAAGTTGACTCACTGCCTATCTTGCGCAGCGCACCCAACGTCGGGGCCATGTCAGCCGGGAGGTCGTTCCATTCCATATCCGGCCGTTGGTTCTGATACGACTGCCCTGACACGGCTTTTGGCCTCGATCCCTGTGGTGGTGGTGCTGATGACGGCGGCGGCGTGGATTTTGAGGACGGAGGACCAGATGTCGGTGGCGGAGGTAGATTCACAACCGCAGCAGTGGTGCTAGCCCCGACGGGCCGTGATGAAGCTGCGACAACATTTCCATTCGCACCCGGCAGACTACTTCTCACGCTGGCACCAACATCCTTCTTCATGAGCCACGCCGAATCAGGCCGCAGCTTCAGGTAATAACCCATCACGGGAGGATCCAGCCTCGTGAATCCCCGAGCGTCGTACCAATGGAGGCCCTCTTCATTCTCTGTCCAGACGTGCGCCGTGACGGTGCGCACATCCAGGTTCGGCGCGCTGATAGCCGTGGCAATGACGTGTTCCAAAGCGGCGTTCATCAGCCCCAGCGACCGATAGGGAGAGAGCAGACACAGCGAACGGATGTAAAGGTTCTGCGGGACTTGGGCGGCCGAGGTGTCGATGTCGGGTTCCACGTGGGAGACGATGCCGCCTATGATTTTCGGCTCCTCGCCCTCGTGCGTCCATGTGATTACGCGCGAAAAGGGGCCCGAGGAGGACGGGTCGATGGCCTTTTGGTAGAAAGTGTCCGAGTAGCTGACTTGGAGCAGGAGGGAGTTGATGCGTCGTAGGGGCGCGATGTCGGACTCTGTGATGGGGCGGATGACTGCTTCGGGGGGGAGAGTGGTCGGCAGGGGCGGCAAGCAGAGGGTTTGTACTGGAGGATGAGGAGGAGGGGGGGAGTTTGTTGGCATCGCGGTGGTGGTGGTGGTGTCGCGTGAAGATGGCGGTGGTGCGTATTTCGGCTGCTTGGACTGGAAGAATGAGCGGATGGATAGTTGCGCGGGCGGCGCCTTGGTCGACGGCAGAGACATGGAGGGTTAGGGAGAAGCGATTGACTGTAGGGAGAGGAAGATGTTGTGGGCAAAAGGAGAACAAAAGGAGGATGGATGATGCTGGCGAGGGACGGAGACGGAGCTTGCAACTTGCAGGTAAACTTTGGGTGATTGCCGAATTAGACAGGGGTCGAGAGGTAAGAGGTGCAGGGGCAGGGGGCTAGATTAGGCTTAGCGCGGTGGTTGATGATGGTCCACGGGGAGGGTTCGGGCTTTGACTGCGTTGAGGGTGCGTCGGATGTATTGAAGTGGGGTCCTATCTAATAAGAAGCCTAAGAATAAAAGGTACATTATTTTATTAAGAAATAATATAATAATAAAGGTCCTAGTAATTTTCTAAGTTATAAAGAGTAACTTTACACTTATTACACTTAAAGCTCTTATAAATATAGTAAATACAACTATATTTTATATTTCAATATATTATAATATAAGATTAAAATACCTATAAATATACTATAGTCTATAAGTGAAAAAAGCCGTTTTATAACTTAAAATTATAAGACAAGTTATAAGGCTTATAAGAGATATTTCTATATAGTTAAATAAAGGTATATTAGCTCTTTAAAATACACTACTTTTTATTATTATAACTTATAAGTTATAGCTAGAGCATTGACAAAAAAACTACACTACATGTAGTTTTCTAGTGTAGTTTATAGTATAGTGTAGTTTTTGTAGTTTTAGTATAGTTTAACTACACTATAACTACATTTATAGTGTAATGTGTAATTATAAAGGGAAATTTTAATTATAAATATAACGTTAATTATAAGACTTATAAGGTTATAATTA